AGTCAACAGTTCGCAGACCGTTCCAACAATGGCGAATGGCTTACGTATCGCGGGTGGGGTGAAAGGTGGTGACGATTATACGGGCCCACGGCGATTTCAACCGGCTGCCTAAAAAGATGCTCAGGACAGTTGATGGGCCACTGCTGCGGTTACGAAAGCTTATCAATTGCACGTGTTTTTAAGCCTTGCCAATTTAAACATTCAAACAAGTTTAAAGCATTCAAGCACAAGATCTGAAAGAACTCAACTGAGTGCTTGCACGCCATGTTCGGTGCTCACAGATCCGCGTCTCAACAACAGTGTGCAAACACCGAACCGAGCTCTCCATTAGTTGAGAAAGAAATCGGATGTGTATCATTATATTGGATGTATTGTCCCTTAAAGTGACCGCGCCTAATATACTAACTGCTGTCGGTGTCCTTAATGTTAATCCAAAAAATTAAAGTGGTCGTATTACGTTGCTAAAAAGAACATTATTTTGTGTATTTGGTGTAATGCAGTGTGTTTACGCAGATTAAGTTTAAAAAAAAAAAAACATTATTTTCCACATACTGTACATTATTGTTGCTTCTCTCAGCCCTGCTGTTCTGAAATGCGCCGATTTTTACAAAGCTCAACGTTCTGAAAAGCATGGTGTGCTCTGATTGGCCAGCTATCCTGTGCATTGTGATTGGCCGAATACCTTAAGTGTGTGACGGATATGTTACGCCCCTTACCATATTTGGAAACACAGTCACCACGGCATAGCGGCGGCTATTGAACAATACTACAGCAAAAAATTAAATGTTACGCCTTCTTTCTTTGCGTAAACATTTGGGAGGTGTTATGCACATAGATATGTATAGATGCCCTATTCGACCGCTCCAGGTATGTCGACGCGTCCGCCATTTTGGAACATTCAACTTGACGTCATTCACCGTAATAATCTATTGACTATTCAAAGATATACAAGCGTATAACTTGCTGTTGTAGACGCACACAGTCAACGTGCTCAAAGGTTCGCAGACCGTTCCAAAAATGGCAGATGGCTTACGTATCGCGGCCCATAGAAACACAGTGCATAGATGGGCGTGTTTTAATGAGGCCTTTTAGGAAGGTGTGGATGAGTCTTAATTTTAGAAAGAATATCTCTTTGGGTTTAAGACTTTAATCTTTGCGCCCTTATGGATCTTATATATATGCACAAACAGCTTGTAACAAGACAAAGGAAAACATGAAATCGCATCATATGACCCCTTTTAAATGAGAGACAATCACTCACCAGGGCTGTACGTTAACTTTTTTTCACATAGCACTGGTGCTACAGAGGATGAAAGTTTTGTAGCACGGGCCAAAAAGTTGTAGCACAAGTATAAAATGTCTGTTATCATGTCTGAAAACAAACACGAGTTCATCACTTAAACAGGCACTGATCTTCCATACAGAGCACAAAAAATACAAACCATCACAAAAATTGTTTTTAGACAAAGTTATCTTGATTTGCTAAAAATGGAAGAGTGCAGAAACATAACACCTCTTACACCTTAACAAAATATAAAATAAAAAAGAATGGCAGACATTTAGGCCAAAGTAAGCAAAGATAAAAATATTTGTCATTATTCTATCTTTGTTATTAGAAAATAAGAACAAAGATATACATTACAAATACACATAATATACAAATAAAACAAACAGTGCTTTATTTTTCAGGTACAGTATTTAGCAGTAACATTCAAGAAATTTAATTAACAAATATTAAAACACTATATACACTATATACATCAATTATACTTTTTTTTTTTAAAGCAACTGACTAATGATAAGTTCATCAGTCAAGAGCAGTGAGTGAT